TTCTACTGAAGATTTTAGAGTCAAAATCTTGATTAAGTGTAGAAGAATTCTAATATGAGTTTTAGGTATATATCTCTCTTTATGATTTAGGTAATTACTATTTAAAAAGTAGACTTCTAAGTGGCCACAACGTGATAGTGTAGACACTAAAACATAGACTCACCCGACAAGGAGCATGCCCTTTTAATGGATGCCATTAAGTGGAAAGGTTCTTGGAAATGTCGTGGCGGGAAGCATCATGAAAACACTAATTTTTCTAGTTTTAAGCAATATATGTAGGATGTGATGGCTAGGGTTTTCTCACCCTCAACCTCCATCACTCCTTTTCTACCTAAATCAAAACCTAGCCTCCATTGTTGGCATTTTGTACTTTAATGGTGTTTTGTGGAGTCTTGAAGAAGAAAATTTTGATCTTGGTGTATGAATCCATTAATAAAACCTCCTCATCACCTTTTTTCATACACTAGATTCTCTTGTAATTTCATAAGTCTATACTTTTGTGTGCAATGCTCTTAGATCTACAATTGGAAGCTTTCTCTTCAACTTGTTGATGTTTTGGATGGATTGATTCTATAAAGCTGGAAACTTTATGGCTCTTTGAGGTCCCTTTATGGTTATATGTTCCATATCTAGTGTTTTATGGATTACTTGACCTCATATATATGTTTTGAGCTTATTCATCCATTTTTTTACCTAGCTTGGAAGGTATATAAATTGGATACACATGTTCACAAACCAACGATTTTTATAATGTGTTTTGATATGTGAAAGCCTTTTGCAAATTATGGGTGAGTGACATAAGGGATTAAGTGTTTAATCCGTTAACCCTGTCGGAACACGTTCCATGATGTGGTGGTTTGATCACTGTGACTTGATGGTAGGCAATCTTGTGATTGTTTGTCATGAGGCTACCATGTCATGGTATAAGCTTGGCCACGATGTGTTTGTCAGTTGAGGTGGACTTTAACTGCTGAATTTTGACCAATAGGGGTTTTGGGATATAGGTGGTTGTAGCAATAGTATTTTTTTGTGTGAGATGCATTGATTTTCTGATAGCTTGTAACATAAGTTTTTTCACTATAATTATGTATCCTTATGTATACAATGTGGTTATGATGTGGTGATCTATTAGATTGACAAATCTACTTTGATTACCTTTGTTAATAGTTATTGTTTGTTTGTTTGCAAATGTCGACATATTGTGGTTAGGTTGAGGTGGTCGTACTCTCTGCTGTAGGCCAAGATACTCGAGTGGTCCATCCCCATGTTTTAGGCTTAAGAGAGAAGTCGAGATACTTATTGTAGGCTCTAAAGAACGGTCTAAGCGTACTTTAGGCCGTATAAGGTGGTCCAGTCAGATTGAAGGTTTATGTATGCAAGCATTGTATGTGTATTGTTGTGTGTGTTATTTTTAGGGAACTTACTATGATTTGGCATACATTTTTGGATTTAAATGTTTCAGGTACTTCTAAGGATCGGGGCAAGTCGATGGCTTGACTATGCACTTCATCTTGTGGTTGGTATGTTTTAAAAAAATTCTATTTTTTGATACTTTGAATTTATGATATGGTTGTGTAATAAAGTTTTGATGACTATGTTGTTACTTTGAATCTTGTGGTTGATACTTTTACAATAGTAGTGTGGAGTATGGTATGAGTCATCAGTATGTTATGATATGATTATGTTGTTGTATGTTGTTATGTAGGCAGATTAGCTTGTCAGCTGCCTGTGGTGTTTGATTGTTTATATATATATATATATATATATATGTGTGTGTGTGTGTGTGTGTGTGTGTACGTGTATGTGTGTATGGATATATTTAGTGACGAGTTGAGCGAGGTCCAACTATGTGATGTAGGCCAAGGGTAGGAACAGACTAGCTTTTAGCTGAAGGCTAATTTGTGTATGTATTTTGTGTATATTATTATATGTGGTATTTTCGGGAACACTCTATTCTTTGTGCTTACAGCTGTGGATTAAAATGTTTTAGATACTTCTAAGGATCGTGGGAAAGTGAAGGCATGACTATAGACACACGTCCATCAGCAGTGTTTATCAATTAAGATTCTGCAATGTTCTTATAACTTTAGATTTCTGAAAATTGCTTTTGATTTTTTCTAAAGTTAAGAAAAATTCTTCTGAAAATTAGGAAGTTACATAGTAAGTATGGTGTGATGTTTAGAATAAAGTGCTTAACTATGAAGTGCTTAAGATCTTGAAATATGTCAAAGATATTTGTCATGTCGAAGATCCTTAGAAGAAAACTGTGATATTAAAAAAATTGTGTCACACCCCAAAGCCGGAACGGCGGAAACGTTCTGGGGTGGATGACGTCATGTCAAGTATCAAAACATATGCAGTATAGTAATCAAAGTACAACAACCATTGCATTAATAGTAATAGGTTTACATAGGTTAGATTTCATAGAGACATCAAAGTAATACAAAGAATAATGTAGATGCAACTTGGTTATAAGTTGACTTCGCAAAAGCTTCCGGGGTGTACCTGTCTATTTCTGACCTGAGAATACAAGTTTTTTTGAAAGCGAGTATCAGCATTTTATAATGCCGATGAGTTCATAAGTATTTAATATCATTTGTGTAAGTAAGCATTTTTATTCAAAATAACTTTATGAAAGCTAGTAGTTTAGAATCTACAGTGTATTTAGGGGTGAACATGGTGCTGTTTGGTGCGGTTTTTGGCCAAAACCGAACCGAAAACCGCAACTTCGGTTTTTTGAAATTTAGAAACCGCACCGTTCGGTTTTATGCGGTTTGGTTTTTTCGGTTTTTCATTGCGGTTTTTTGCGGTTCGGTTTTTTTTCCTGTTTTGCCTTTTTACTAAAAATCAAGTAACTTAGCGAGTTCCTTTGACTCAAATGAGGAGTGGTAATCATTTATTGAAGATAAATCCATACCACAACCTATTGGTTTGAAATCAAATTACTTAACCACTCATTCAACATGTTTCTAATGCTTCAATATAATGTGAATTTAATATAATATTTGTTTCACAAGTACATACGATAATATCAAGTAATGTATTCATAAAAATGATACTATATCACTAGTACTCTTCATATTTAAATGTTAAAAAAAATATCATAAACATTATTTGTTATTGTAAATATCACTGAATGTACGCTTAAAAATATACAATCATCCTCCGATAGATAAGATATATATTTACATTTATAGAAATTTTAATTGTCATAAGTTCTTGGTTCTTACAAATATATTTACAAATAAGTTCTTGGTTCTTACATATATATATATACTAGTAGGGAACCCGCGCGATGCGGCGGCGCCAGTTAGTTTCTTTCGAGAGATAGTTGTCAAGCGGCGATTAGTGTTCTCGTTTGAGGTAGTTCATTTCAGTCTTTTGGCGGATTGCTTTGTGTAAGATACTTCCTTTCTGAGAATAATTTCTAGCTAGGTATATCAAAGCGGAGGCAGAATAATTCCATATCCGGTGTCATCTGTTATTCTGGTTGTTACTTATGACGGTTAGTTTCTAGGGAGTTACTTATAGTTTTCATACGGCGATTTGTTTATTTTAGGTTTGTGATAGTTCCTTTTAACCTTTTGACAAATTGTTTTTTGGCAGATAGTTCTTTACGATAGATAGGTTCTACGAGATTACTTATGATGGATACTTTCTATGGAATTACTCAAACGTGCAATACGGTTGACGGTAAATAATTTTTTTTTAGATGTCATCTATTGCTCAAGTTGATAGTATAATAATTTACCACTAAGTTTTATCTAGTAAGGAATTCGCACAATGTATCGACAACAAATATTTTCATTTGAGTGCTAATTTATGACAATGTTTAGTTTGTGTTATGTAGTTTTCAAATAGTTTATTCATTCTTTAAATTCTAATACTTTTAATTATTTTATTTTTAACTTTTTATACAAATAAATAACATCTATCTGAAAAATAATACATTGAAATTAGGGATGAGCATATGGACCAGAGAACCGGCCGGAACCGGTACCGGAACCGGAACCCGATGCAACCGGTCAGTCCGGGACCAGGGACGTTATTTTTGTAGATTTTTGGAACCAGGAACCAGCAGGAGCCGGAAGCGATATAACCGGAACCAGTAGAACCGGCAAAAACAGGAACCGTGTGATACTATTTTTCGAGGACCGATTCCAACATTGGAAAATACGACAAGAACCGGTAGAACCGTCGGGCGGATTCGGTTGATTTTGGCCGAAGCCGGTTCCCGGATCGGGTCCGGTTCCGGCCGTTTGCTCATCCTTAACTGAAATTCTTTAATTAGTATGAGGTAGAAAAAAGTATGCCTACGTTTCGAAAAGAACAATATCTCAAAAAAATAAAGTTTTTATATGATAAATAATATACATTTTAGTATACATTAATACACTAACGTATGAATATATTGTTTAATATATTATTGATCATTGTAGTACACCACAAAAAGATCAAAATTGTAAAAAATGCAAAAAACATATGGTACTTGCTTTGTATTTTTTTTCATCATAAAATACTATTAGGATCGTCTTAATACACACTAAATATTATATCAAATGTAAATAATTGATCGTTGTTTCATTCATTTTCTATTTTTTTTTAATAATTTATCCGATCTAAAATATTGTTAGTTACTTTTACCTATAATACGTACAACCACCTTATCATCCGATCATTATCAACAATACTCTTCAAATTAAAATTTCATATATAAATAAAAATAATCAAACATATAATTTATATTTCAACAACCCTCAAACAATACACAATTAAAATCTATTTTGGTCAAGATCGACTCACATACAACAATTATTTGAAACCTTCTACTAAACATCGATATAAATAGTTAAATACAAACAATAAATAACACATATGTCTAAAAGTGTTTATAAAAAAATAGAAAGCATTTGACTAAAAAGCAATAAATTTATAAACCATTAACAGTAAGCCTCTATAGATGTATACAAATATGAATGTGAAACCTCGAGGAAAAATCATTAAACCTGAAAACGAAATTTCAAGAAATAAACACAATTAAACCAACATAATGAAGTTTCCTTTCTAGTCAGATACATTCCATGTATGGTTCGACAACCATGGTTTGAGGGTGGTGGGGCAATAACCTTGATGTTGAGGGATTGGAATAGAAAAGGCACCAAGAATCTGTAAATGACAATATGAAACACAATGTGGAAAGCAAACCAAATCATGACTAAATTAACCCTTAAAATAATATATCATTTGAGTGTATATTTACTCAAACCAATTCTTTGACTGTTTTATCTTTAAGGAGGGTATTGTAACATCAGCCAAATTATTTATTTTTCCTATAAATAAGACCAACATGAAAGAATGGTTAGGACATCATATACATTATTATCAGATACGAAACAAAAAACTATATAACTTACCATACAAATTTATATATCTTTTCAACAAAATATTCAGTCAAGCATCCCACAATGTGAAAACATTACCAACTTCATCAAATGAGTAGCAACATAATAAATAAAACTTCGTTTATATATATATATATATATATATATATATATATATATATATATATATATATATATATATATATATATATATATATATATATATATATATATATATATATATATATATACACACACACACACACACATTTGTGCACCAAATTTTGATAACCGTGTCTACAATAATATTTCAAATAGTCATCAATTAGAAAAAGAAAAGCAAGAATACACCCGCTGGAATATCTTAACCATTTTAGTTTGTCTATTACTTCATTGTTGTGTTGTGGAAAGGACCAAGGGATCTAGACATTTAGTTCATGTATCGTCCTCAAATAAGTACACAAAAAATCAACAACAACTCATACATAAATCTGAAAGTAAGCAAGTATTTACCAGTCAATACATATCTTAATGCATAGATCTACATTTTTTTGACAAAATACCCCATATATTAGAGCATAGAGAAACTTGTGAAGTCTTCGGATTACTCCCTTTTCCCAAATCGCAGCTAATATCCTGAACAATAAACAAAAATAAACGTCAACTTAGTCCCAAGAGGTTTAAAATTAACTCATCATCCATGTACAAATCAAGCAAATACGGGTAGAAACCTGAAAAAGAGCCAAACCAGGATGAAAACCAGTGAAACGGAAATCACTTATCTATTCAGGGCCTGAAAACAAACACACGCCGTTAGACACATACAAAAACATACAAAGCTAGAGAGATGGAAAAGGTTAGTGGTGGTTATGGTGGTGAATTTTATAGAGATACAGAGAATAAACTTACATGTGGCGGTGGGGAGGATGTTTTTAGCAAGAAACAGAGAAGGCGAGGGTAAGGGGTGTTAGAAAATGGTGGTAATAGCTTTGTTAGAGTTTCTGTGGTGGTGTCAGTGGTGAAAGGTGTAGGTGGAGGTGGCCGATAAAGGTGACGAAGGTAGAGGCTGAAGGTCGAGATCAGGCGGAGGCTGTGGATGTGGTGACGGTGGTTGATTATGATGAGGTATGGTGGTAACCGCACACGTGGTCTCGACTCATGAAGCAGGTGTTGTGATGTAGCCGAAGGGGTCGAAGACGGAAAGACGTCATGAGAGAGAGGAAGGGTGTAGTGATTAGGGTGTGTTGTGGAGTGTGTTTCTATGTTATCATTCATCTGATCTAGTACCAAATCAATGGCCCAAAGTTAAACACGCTGGCAATCCATGTAAGCATCCATGTGAGTCCAATTATGCATAAACTATTTGTACTAACTGCTGTGAAATTTGCACCTCTTAGTTTTAAGATATTAGGCTTTATATTATTGTACATCATGCTTAAAAGTTTGTATTTAAGACATTAGATATGTATGCTTTATAAGATGGTATATATATATATATATATATATATATATATATATATATATATATATATATATATATATATATATATATGCGGTGCGGTTCAGGTTTTTGCGAGACTAGAAACCGCACCGCACCGAATATTTTCGGTTTTTGCCAAACTAAAGACCGCACCATTAGTTTTCATTTCGGTTTTGGTTTTTCGGTTTCGGTTTATGCGGTTTTTTTGGTTTTTTTGTTTTGCGGTTCGGTTTTTTCTCACCCCTAGGTGTATTAGCGTTCTTTCCAGAAAATCATATATTTTCTAAATAAAAGCAGTCTTCTACCAAGACCCGACAAAGTTATGTTTTAAAGAGTAATTTTCCCCGAAATACTATCATTACCAAAATACTGTATTTACTTTAAAGGAATAATGAGAAAATCACAAGTAAAAATACCAGGGGAAAAATAACAAATGCCTCAGTAGTTATACTATTGTCTAAGGCCAAATAAATCATAGATTCCATGAGAATATCGAATGAACGATATGCCTGGCTCAGTCTAACAAAAGGAAGCACGGGCTCCAAACAGTATCGAATGAACGACACAGCTAGTAAAGTCTTAAAACAGGAGAATACAAACTCCGGACAATATCAAATGAACGATACAGCTAGCAAAGTCTAAAACAAGGAAATACAGTGATAATTCTTGTTAGCCTAAGGCCATGAATTATAAGGCAAACATGGAGATACTTGTAACCATACTGATTGACAGTAGAGAACTTGACGCCCCACAAGCATCGGAATGAATGTGACATTTGTCACCCCTTGGCTTGGTCGGCCGGGGACTGTAGCTAGCAGTCAGGTATAGATCTATACACACAATGCCCGCTCTCCCTACGGGAGACTTTGGTTACCAACTTGACAACGGGGAAATCCGTGTCCAGAGGATGCATCTCGTATTCTGAATTCTAATATAGGTACTGAACTAATGATAGAGACTCACGAATGAACTGACTCCTTTGGAATTCTCGTACTATAAAGAGTAAATAGAACCTCCTAACTATTCCTATAATAGTTAATAGTGTCTCTAGTCTATGAACGGTGACTGTAAGGATGCCCTTGCTACCCAAGGGAAATGAATTGGTTGATGGAAACCTTTATGTCTATACATGTATACATAATATATAACTAATGTTTGAACAACCTTCGGACAGATAACTGATACCCACCAGACCACATCCCAACGAGGAAAAGGAAATAGGGCGAACTAGCCTTCCTAAATCTTTCAAACATTATTTATATAAGTATACAAATACAGGAATGCATTTAACGAAAGATCTATGAATGATGAATGGAAGGATGCCCTTGCTATCTAAGGGAAATGAACTTGTCGCTAAAAACCTTTATGTCTATACGTGTATACATGATATATAACTAATGTTTAAACAACCATCGAACGAATAACCAATACCCACCAGACCACATCTTAACGAGGAAAAGGAAATAGGGCGAACTAACCTTCCTATGTCTTTTAAACATTATTTATACAACTATACCGATATAGGCATGCATTTAATGAAACAAAAGCATAGAAGAAAACTCTGATAAAAACTTTGGAAAAACCTTTACACATAAGAAATTTACGACTTGATGTCAGTTTGTAAAACAAGTTTTGAAAATCCTTGGAATCCTTTGAAAATCTTTCATACTTTATCAAGAGTTGAAAACATAATTTAGAAACCTTTCAGCTGGATAAACAGTTTAATATGAAAAATCTATTTTTCTATACAATTATTAATCACATGGGTTTTATCTAGTAACTGTACAGTTCAACTTGTATTCCTCCCCCCCCCCCTATAAAAGCAGTAAAATCATTTAAAAGGTCAATTCAGGGGTATGAACTCACCTATTGTAAGTGGATTGGATGGAGGTGCCGGTTGGGTGCTCCGTGTCAAGTAAAGACTTAAGCACGCTTAGTGACCTATTAACATATGATGACATATGTTTACATACAATTAGTAATTATAATACTAATTAAACACGTATAAGCATCCTAATGTGCGGAAAACACTTTGGTCAAGTGCAAGGAGGCTATTGGGTTGGAATATGGGGGTGTATGGCCTAGTTAGGGAGTTTACTCTTCAAGAGTAAACTCTATATGGAGATTTTGGCCCTAAGACCATATCCCCTTGAGTTTACGGCTGTAAACTCATGGGCGGTGTGTTTTTGGATGCTAAAAGGTCTTATATCACGTGTAGAGTTTGGCTACGTTCACATTCAGGGCTTAAGAAGGGTTTAAGGCTCCAAATGAACCATTTAAGGGAGTCCACGGCTGTAAACTTAGAGTTTACGGCTGTAAACTCTCACTTGGTCATTCCCTTCATTAATTAAGGTCTTAAATGAAAGGATATAATGTTCTATGCATTTTTCCAAGTCAAATGGGGAAGTTAGGGAATCATTTGGCTCCATTATGGGAGTTTACGGCCCATGGACCAATCCTTGGGGGGTTTACAGCCGTAAACTCCTAAATCCTGGGTTCCTTTGATTTTTAAAGCCATTACTTCATTTGTGGTTGATTCTAGACATTTACCCAAGCCTTAGGAGGCGTTGAAGGGAAAATTTAACACCTTAAAAGGTGTTCACGGCTCATGAAGAGGGTTTTACGGTCCAAGAGTGTTCTTGGGCCGTAAAATCTTGTTTACTCTCCATATGATAAGGTTTTGGTGTTCTAAGCTCATATGTGTAAGTCCACAAGTCATATCTAAGCCCTAGGAGTGATTTAGGAGGGTTTTGGGGCTTCAAAACTCCACTTATAGGTGTTTGCGGTACAAGAGTGTTCTTGGGCCGTAGACACATGATTTTGCCACTTTTGGATGTCTTAAACACGAATTTGCATGTTAAATGAGCTAGACAACAAGTTAGGGTAGATCACTTACTAGTTTGGGGCTTGAAAGAGGCATTTTTGGATCAAAATCGACTTTGTAGAGAGAGAGAGAGAGAGAATAGGGAGATGGTGGAAAAGCTTCAAATGGAGTCCACCCATCTTTATATAGGGGTTGAGTTTGTGGCTCAGTGGAAATTTACCCGATACTGACGTTAAACGGAGCTTTTGGTCGCACCCGATTAAACGGTCATAATTTGACTTGGTTGAAACTAAAAATTTTCAAGGGGAAAATCGAGGGTGTTTCTAATTTGTTTCAACCCTTATGAAGTCATAATAAAGTCCAAATTTAATTAAACTAATACAAAAGGTTAACGAACAATTTAATAAAGCGGGTTTTATTAATGGAATCAGGGTTCGGGGTGTCACAAATTGTTTACACTCGTGAACTAGATTAACATTTAGAATAAGTCTTAAGATACTAAAAAGGATACCAAGATACCGCTGATATCTTGGTTGTTTTTAGTAAGATTTCGACTATAAAATCAGATAAACAATCAAATAAGTTTGAGAAAATGTTGTAATTTAAATGGTAGTAAACGAATAAAATCAAATGAGAGAACTCAAGGGTGTATGAGGAAAGCCCTTAATTCTTTTGGATCTCCGACTTAAAATATTAGGAGAAAGAAGGTCATATTGTAAGTGTGAAAGAACTCACATGTCGAGAGAAAGAAGGTCTGGGTGAGGAGAGCCCTTAATTCTTTAGAATATAATATTACCAAATATGTAATTACAAATGCTAATTAATCATGTTGTAAGTGTGAAAGAACTCAAGTGTCGAGAGAAAGAAGGTATGGGTAAATGTCACAACTAGAAAATTTTTTGCCTTGTAACTACAACACTTATGTCAACTATGAATCAAAAACATGAAAGCATGCATGATGCTTACTCTAAGACAACAGAATTTCAATCAATCTCCTCATACAAGCATTGCAAGTAGTTAACAAGCAATTGGAAACCCTAGAAGTTCTTGTTTCAGTCCATTTTGGACTAGGACTTCCTTATTCGGCCCAATGGACCAATAAGCTTTCAATTTGAATATCTTGGGCATAGAACTCTTAAGTGGGCTCTAATTGGACCCACTTCTATTTATTTCAATATTTTGGGCCATATTGGGCCTAGAATGAAATAAATTATTTAAATGAACCATATTGGGCCATAATTAACCTAATTTAGCCCTAATAGGTCATAAAAATCACGTTTCTATTTATTTGAACCAAACGTCACTTAAGAAAACCATGAAATTGGCTTAAGCATACAAGGCCCAATCCTTTTCTTTTTTCCCTCTCCAAATCTCGGCCTAAGCCCAACCCAAAGAATGAAGAGTTGACTTGTGAGATTGCCACCTCATTTATACATCACATACCTCCATGCATGGACCAACATGCATCTAAAATAGTCATCTCAACTCTCTCTCTCTCTCTCTCTCTCTCTCTCTCTCTCTCTTCTCTTCTTGATTCTCGACCGAGAGCTCCCAAACATACACACTTCATCCATTTTTTATTAAACAAACTCTCTCAAAGAACATCCTCACCTTTCTTCATCAAATTTTCGAGAATCAAGAGCTTTTCAAAGAGACTTTCCACAAAAATATCATCTAAGCTAATTTATATTTAGGTTTATGATCTAGACTCTTAGTTTATCAAAAATCTCATCTTAACTTAATCAAATTCATGATCTAACTCCCTAGAATCATCTAAGTTCGAAAACTTCCTTAAAAGGTTGCTAGGGCCGAAATATTCTCTCACATCTTCATCAAAACCAAATCCAAACCATAAGGTGAGTTTCATACCCCTTCTTTTTAGTTTTTATGAGTTTTTACGGGGGTGAATACAAGTAAATGTGTAGATCTATGTGTAAATGTATGCTATTTGTGATTTGATGCATGTATGTGTGTGATATCTTATGTTTGTGATGAATATGTTATTCAACAAGTGTGTAAAACCGAGATCTCA